GTTGCATATATATATATATATATATATATATAAAATATTCTTATTATATTAAATTGTTCTGTATTCATGTGTATGTGTATATTTTTTGTGAATATATATATGTGCATATAAATATGGTTGTATTTAGGTGTAGACTGTGTATGGTATGCGATTGTATTTACATATGTAATGTATACATATTCTCTCTCTCTCTCTCTATATATATATATATTAGATAGGAAAAGATAATAAGAAGGCATTTTTAAAAACAAAAGCCAAAATAAAACTACTGGTTTCATCCCAGGACTTATCAAGTTATTTATTCTGGGAAATAAAAAGCATGTAAATTAATTTTAATTAATGAATGTAATTAAATGGGGAGAGGAAAAAAAAAAAAAAGAATTATGAATTTCAATAATATTCAGACCCAGCAGCAAGCATTCCCTCTGTTTACAAAGGGAAGGCTCACGAGATCTGATATACAAGGACTTCAGGACCTTGAGGTGAAATGTGGAGTGGGACCTAGATAAAATAATAAATCGGTCACCACTAAAATTTTTTTATTGATAAATAGAAGGGAATGGGTGGAAAATTTTGCTGAGTGCTGATGGCTTAGGGGGAAAATCTCCAACTGTTGCCAAATCAGTCGGGTTTTCATCCCAGCTTGAAGGAAACGGATGTCTAACCACACTGATGATCTGTGATACAGTGAAACTGTCTGTCTGTGGATGACAATATATATATATATATATATATATACACACACACACACATATATATATATATATATATATACATACACACACACACACACATATATATATATATGTTTTTTTCCTGAATATCATAATGGTTTTATAAATTATTTATGAGGAATCTCATGGATAATTATACATTAAAACACACACACACACACACACACACACATATATATATATATATATATTTTAGAATAGATATTTTTACATTAAATTTGAAATCTTCCGCTAGGTTCTGAATATTTTTTAAAATGTTCTTAACCAACCACTATTTTTAATATAAATTATAAAACGTTGTTTAAATTGAATACATATGTCAGAATCTTGACCAAGAAGTATCCAGACAGAATTCCGATTTTACACTAAAAATCTTTTTTCAACTCTTATTGACTCCCCAGTAGTTTGATTTACCCTTTCCTTTTCTTAATTTTATTCTCAACTGCCATTTTATGTAACAATTTATGTCCACAATGCGTATGTTAATTTAGGTCATCACAGGTCCTAATGTCAGTTAATACAACCAAGCCAAACTCTTTTGGTCCCATTGTCATTTCAATTATTCTCTCTTTCACTCCTCTCTATATACACAACATCTCTTTTCTACCCTCCTCTTACACGATTATAAATTTACATCTTTCTTTCCCCTACTCTCTCAATATGAGATCAGTATATTTAAAGTAAATCTATTCTTAAGTTTTAAACCTGGAGTGATTTTTTCCATTTACATTTGGTTTACGGGTCTGAAGATTTGAGGCCATTTTATCAATCTCAATGAAATAAATATCACCTAATGGTATTTTAAGTGTTTTTCATTATATAATAATAAGTCTGATTGAATAAATTGCAAACAATATGTCTGCTTATTTTTATCATAATCCTTTCATATTCACAAATATTTTTCCATATATTACAATTAAAAAAGGCAAGAAATGCACTGTAATAGTATAAATCACTTATTTCCCCAAGTACTTTCTATCTCCTTTTGAGATCATCATCAGGGGTGCAACTGGTATGGCAAAAGCTATGTATAGCTATCCATTGCTGAATTTTTTCTTTTACATTTAAATGCAACAGCTGACAGTTATGCTTTAGCATTCATTAGAATGTGAAAAGTTATCCATTATGGAATTTTTTTTTTCCAACATAAAAGAAAAAATTCCATAATGGGTAACTTTTTTCACATTCTGGTAAATACCCAATGGCAACAGTGTTTCATGTTTAAATACAATCTTTGGGCAATGTATGTTGTATTTGGTGTTGACTATTTATATATGCTGAACAGTGGTGCATTATGGGTAGGTCAATTATCGTAATGATTATTGGATAAGCGGTAATGGTGGTTTCAAATTATTCTAGCGACTATTGCATAGAAATAATTGTGGATCTGAATGCAGCAATATATATATATATATATATATATATATATACTGGACACAGTGCAATGAAAAAAATCAAAATTCTGGAAGTTGTTGCAATACAAGGGAAGCAACAACATTAAATAATGTATCTTTCTCGATAGAGGATTGTATATTGAAGTGTGTTAAAAAAAAAAAAAAATGAATAAATATAAAATTTACGGTTTGATGGTCTAAATGGTGTCACCTTAAGTGACTAGAAATCATTTCCAGCAAACGTGGGAAAGCCAGAATTAAGCAGAACAGTTGCATAACTATACAAAAAACACAATCCTTGAAAACGAATGTAGCAACATTCGAAAGTACATAGATAAAAAGTAATACAAATAAAAATAAGTATGAACTTTGGCAAATTTACTGAAAACAACTAATTTGGAAATATGAAAAATTTAAGAAAAAACTAGCCAATATTATTTAACGAAATATATAAGTCGACATTCAGGTCAACACCCAGCAGTGACAGTGTTTCATGCTTGAACACAATCATCAGGTCAATGTCCACTTTTATACTTTATCCCTGATAGCGAGCACTTTAAATCATAAATATAGCATACCTCAAAACTATATATATATGTATATATCCCCTCTCATAGGTTGAGCACTTTGGAAGAAAGGGAATTTTTTGGATGCTGATAATTAATGATAAAACTCTTCACAATGAATTGAGCACTCTGGTAGTTTGGAATACTTATATCTATATAATGCATTAAAAATTGCCTTTCTCTACTGCATGCATTGATGGCCTAAGGGTGAGAGCCACCAATCTGATGTCAAAACAATTGGGTTTCAATCCCAGCTTGAAGCAATCATACGTCTAGCCACACTGATGAGCTGTGATCACAGTGAAACAGTCTGTCTGTGGATGATATATATATATATATATTATGGCTATAAACATTATTTTTAGTAGGTACAAGTATTTGAGATACTATCCCCATTTTTTTTTTCTTAAATAATGAAATTAATTACAACCGACGTAGATAGAGAAGTCCAACAAAAGAAAAATTGTGCTGCCAGCAGGAATTGAACCTTTCATGATATGAGAGTCTATACAAATTCATATTTCATTATGAGAGTCAACATTTTCAGAATAGAATTGGTATAAAGCATCTGATGTTTGTCAAATTTTGGGGACATACTTATATTTATATGAACAATATATCACAAATTTCAGTTCAGCTTACAATACCAAACAGAATAAGGGGACAATTCAAGAAGGAGTTATTAACAGTGAATAGTTTTCTGATGAGTTTGAGTTTGAGTGAGAGTGAGAGTGAGAGTGTTAATGCGTGCTAATATATACGATGCATATACAGTGAGCATACATAAAAATATTTTGTGCGTACGTACGTACGTACATGTGCAATTGGCATACAAGAATTAAATATTTCAGGGGGCACCAGAATTTTAGAAATACAAAAATGGGGTTTGGCCCAAAATCAGTTGGGAACCACTGGATTATAATCACTTTCTTTCCCTTGATGTGCGCCATGTTTTTTCAGAATTTGGTTGGTCATGACTTTCTACAAGTTCCTGTCTTTTGTAGCTCTAAGTAACTCTTGATCATTTGACCCTTTTTAACCTTTGTTGACCTTGTTTTTCCATTCAACCTCATGAAGAGTTTACTCACCGTGCGTCCCACTTTTCTTGCTCTTATATGTCCTGTGATTATGTTGTTTACAATTCAAAAGGCTTTTTTAAAAGGCCTTGATACATACCCAATGGTTATATTGTACAAAGGTAAGTCAAAAAATATCCACACACCTGCTATAATATATCTTTAGGTTTGCCACACTGCCTTCTGTTCATGCATGCTTACAGTTGGTACTATTGCGGTTACATGATTGAAGTTTGAGCTTTGATCGCACCAATTTTCTTGCTGCTGTTACAGTGTAAACATGGCCGCTCCGCTAGCAGTGTGCATTAAAGAGGAACAAAGAACATGTGACCATGATAGTACCAACTCTAAGCACACATGAGCAAAAGGCAGCGTGACATACCTAAAGATATGTTATGCTGACAGTGTGGATCATTTTGACTTACCTCGTATATATAATAAACCATATATGTAGGTCATTTTCAGTACTGTTTTGTGCCAAATACAAATGCTGGTGGGAATTTTTCAGCTAAGAAGAGCATAAGTTAAATAAATAAGAACAGAATAATCATGTTGCAGAGACAATTATTTAAACATAATAAGTGTAGTGTACCAAATAAACAGTGTGATGGTGTGAAGAAGGGGTGGTCGATCGAGGGGAATATTTTATGCAGGCACTTGTATTTGGTAAATAAGTGTCAGCTACCTTTTCTCTAACGCATTCATGTGTATCATCTGTATGCGTATGGGGACTGATTGATTTTTTTATGGTTTATCAACCCTTTGTGGGCTATTTAAAGCTACATATTTTGGATTGTACAAATATTTTTTTTGCAAGTGAATATTGCATTAATAATTACTTTTTGAGAATAACAATGAATTTTACCAGATACAAGACTTACTATTTAACTCATAGATGGGGGAGATAGATATGGGAGAGTTAAGTTGCAGATTACAAGGCAATTAGTTACAATAGCCATTATTATTTTATATTTTTGATGAATTAAGAAGTCAAGTCGAAGAAGAAGCATTTTTGATACAGAGTTTCCTCTTTATTAAAGAATTTGGACATGGAGGTCTTCTGTTGATAAAAGCCAGCACATTAACAATGAAGGCAAACTGAATGATTAGAAAGATGACGATGACCAATGATAGCTAGAATGGTAGATTGGCTTGGTAGAGGATCCAGAAGACACTAAGCTGGATCATTCAAATGTGGTGTAGGGATTGTGGCTATTCCCCTGAACAAATTTATGACTTAGTCAAAGTCACATAAGAGTTTTCATTTCTGAAAAAAAAAAAAAAAAAGAAAAAGAAAAAATTAAAAAAGATTTTAGCATAAAAGTTCATTACCCTACATCATTTTATCTTAAATGCTAGAAAACAACCTTACATAATTGCGAAATTCCCAAAACCACACACCACCCTGATAGCACTTCTAGCAAGAACAACATTAAATTCATAATCCTACCCTCTAACACTCTTTCTACAAATCTTAAAGAAATTAGTCATCCCTTATACTAGGATCTTTATCACCATACCCTGAAACTATCTCTTAATTGTTGTCCCCAGGTCCACTCTGACCAGGAGTGGTAGCACCTGTTCGGGTCCCTACCATGGAATTTACACATAAATTTGAAATAAGCAATCTCTACCTTTCCTTTTCTTATTAATACATAACAGTAACAAATTAGATTTTAGAGTTTATCGTAAACCCACTAACAAAAACGATCTAATTTTTTTTTTTTAAAGCTTTTCACCCCAAGCAAGGCGGGAAGCCACTAGGATGCAAGAGGTTACAGAAGATTTGGAGCAAGATCAGATAGGAGTGACAGAGGAAAGGATGAGGAGAAGGATGGTGAATAGATCAAGGCAACTGGAGATGTCGATTGACATTACATTTGAATAGTTGGAGATTATAGCTCTCAGGGAAGCTGGAATAGGGAAGGGAGTTCTACAGGCGAGAGGTGTGAGACATGAAGCTATTGGAGTAGAAGAGATGGCTACATTTAGTAGTTTCGACAGTGAAAGGGTGAGAGCGGGATGCCAGCCTTGTAGGGCGCTTGAACTCATGAAGTCTGGGAACCAGCGAATGCAGCTCCTCAGAGCAATTACCATGAAAGTATTTATAAAAAAGACAGAGAGAGGCTCTTAGAACATGTAACCCAGAATACCTAGTTGAAGAGCATCCTGGGTAAGACGTTAAACTGCATCCGTGTCCTAGGTAAGATGATAAACTACATCCAGCAGCAAGGCCTCTGATCAGGAGGTTTTGACGAGTGTGGAACCACCTCTTAATTGCTGGTGTTCCCAGATCCACCCTGACCCAGGGTGGTAGCACCTGTTAGGGTCCCAGCTATTGGCAAATAGTTAACTATTACCAGCAATAATCTTTTGAAAAAAATTATTACCAGCAATACAATTTTGAAGGAAAAATATTACCAGAAACAGATTTTTGACAAAACAAAATATTACGAGCAATAAAAAATGTTGTCAGCATTAAATAACCCCGAGGTTGATATGCCGTAAAACAAAATAAACTCAACCAAACCTAGATGAAGAAGAGAGATACATTGAGAAAACATTTAGACTTCTTTGCTACCCACATCATTTCATCACCAATGCTAGAAAACAACCTTACATAATCCAGAAATCCTAAAAATTATACAACTCCGATAGCACTTCTAGCAAGAACAACACAAAATTCATAATCCTACCATTTGACACTCTTTCTACAAAACTAGCTATCACTAATACTAGGATCTTTACCACCACATTCAAGATAATCAGCGATATAATTAGGAAGAAAAAAATCCGAACTAATTAAGATGCTGGTACTTACCAAATAAATGCTTACAATATAAAAGTATTTATATAGGAGAGACATTAAAAACTCTAAAAGTCCATATTGATGAACATAAATTTTTATGTTTAGACAACTTTTCAAACTCTCTCATAATACACAGGAACAAAACTGTGGCTATAACTTTGAGTTTACAAATGCCACTCTATTTAAAAAAGAAAATAACAATTACCAATACTAATATTACTATTAACTATAAAGAATTACCAATACTAATATTACTATTAACTATAAAGAATTACCAATACTAATATTACTATAAACTATAAAGAATTGCCAATACTAATATTACTATAAAGAATTACCGATACTAATATTAACTATAAAGAATTACCAATACTAATATTACTATTACTATAAAGAATTACCAATACTAATATTACTATAAAGAATTACCAATACTAATATTACTATAAAGAATTACCAATACTAATATTACTATTAACTATAAAGAATTACCGATACTAATATTACTATAAAGAATTACCAATACTAATATTACTATTAACTATAAAGAATTACCAATACTAATATTACTATAAAGAATTACCAATACTAATATTACTATTAACTATAAAGAATTACCGATACTAATATTACTATTAACTATAAAGAATTACCGATACTAATATTACTATTACTATAAAGAATTACCAATACTAATATTACTATAAAGAATTACCAATACTAATATTACTATTAACTATAAAGAATTACCAATACTATTATTACTATAAAGAATTACCAATACTAATATTACTATTAACTATAAAGAATTACCGATACTAATATTACTATTACTATAAAGAATTACCAATACTGATATTACTATAAAGAATTACCAATACTAATATTACTATTACTATAAAGAATTACCAATACTGATATTACTATAAAGAATTACCAATACTAATATTACTATTACTATAAAGAATTACCGATACTAATATTACTATAAAGAATTACCAATACTAATATTACTATTAACTATAAAGAATTACCAATACTAATATTACTATTAACTATAAAGAATTTTCAATACTAATATTACTATTAACTATAAAGAATTTTCAATACTAATATTACTATTAACTATAAAGAATTACCAATACTAATATTACTATAAAGAATTACCAATACTAATATTACTATTAACTATAAAGAATTACCAATACTAATATTACTATTACTATAAAGAATTACCAATACTGATATTACTATAAAGAATTACCAATACTAATATTACTATTACTATAAAGAATTACCAATACTGATATTACTATAAAGAATTACCAATACTAATATTACTATTACTATAAAGAATTACCGATACTAATATTACTATTACTATAAAGAATTACCAATACTAATATTACTATTAACTATAAAGAATTACCAATACTAATATTACTATTAACTATAAAGAATTTTCAATACTAATATTACTATTAACTATAAAGAATTTTCAATACTAATATTACTATTAACTATAAAGAATTACCAATACTAATATTACTATAAAGAATTACCAATACTAATATTAACTATTAGCTATAAAGAATTACCGATACTAATATTAACTAGTAACTATAAAGAATTACCAATACTAATATTACTAACTATAAACGCACGTCAAAACATTACATTACACTGCCAAACTTTATTGCATCCATTCTTAAAGAATCTAATGTATATTTATCTAAAGCAAATGGTATGTATATAAAAACATTCCCAAATGAATCAATCAACTGGCTGATGATGATGAGTGTACATAGGCTCATAATACGCACTTCCTTTATGTCCATACAACAACCTCATTAAGCAACCCTCTACCTTGGGTGTTTCTCGAGCCTGTATTGGGTGAACATTTACAGTTTTATTTTTAAATGCCATGTCCCACAGATTGCATTAATTTTTAAATGACATGTCAGATTTCGTTGCTTCATTATATGTGAATTGCCATGACTGCTTAAGATTGATTTGTTTTTTCACTTTTTACAGCTTATCAAGCCTTTGTGGGTTAGTTGCTGCAATTGGTCTGCATCAAAACAATGACAGTGCGTGTCAAACACCCACTTTGAGCTACTATGATGATCACCAGTCATACAAAGAAGTTGGTGGTAGAATAAAAGGTCTACAGACACATACCCAATTGTATAAGATCATCTCCCAGTTATAACATGAAAAATAACCACACCTTTGTAGAAGCAATGATAAACGAGAGGAAGAAAGTTAAAAAGTTGAAATTACCATTGTCGCTCACCTCATCTTCATCAAATACATGGCAGGTTCTTTGGAGGGTGAGGCAGGAGAGTTTGGAGAGAATTCAGGTCTGTCGTATTTTCTGATAAGTTCCTTTAGTTCTTCGATGAGCTTAAAAGAGTCACCTGGGGGGAAAAAAATGAAGGCAGAACGAAAAGCAAATAATATAGAAAGGCAGTTAAGATGAGGAATCAAGCAATGGTGTAAAAGCTGAACATTTAATTTAAAACATTTAAAACAATGGGAAGGGGGGTTACATTGTGACAGGCAATTACAAGACTGATGATGATGATGAAAACAAAAAGAAGAGGGTAATCAACAGCAGATACGACGTCTTCACTGCAATACTGGGCCCCAGTCAAGTATTTTTTCATATTGACGAATGGATAAAAATCAAATCAGGAGAATAGGGAGGGAGGATCAAGTAGTTCAAATCCACCGTCACAATGCAGCAGACACTGAAACCAAGGACTTGTGTGCTAAAGTATTGGCCTAATGAAACAAAACCATTTTTGTCAGTTTTTCTGGGTGTTTAGTCTTGATAGCCTTTCGTAACTGCTCCAGCAAATTGACACAGTACTCTCCATTGATAGTGTGCCCTTTTAAAAGTAGTCAATAAACACAATGACTGTCTATATTTCTGCGATGAGGTATTATGTACACTATTTACATTATTTGAACTATTGTCCTCATCTTTGTTGCCATATTTATCACAACGTTTCAGCCGTTGTATGCTCCGGCCTTCTTTACGTGGTAAGAATGTCAAACTGAACCCTTTATTTTGCTCATTGGGGTAAACTGTTCTAGTTCCACGTGCTATGTTTTAATGGATGTCAGTTATCAGTTATCTCTTGTTAATTCCCCTCTGAAAGTTCTCCACTGCCTTAACCAGTTATTGAACTCACACTCTTTGGGTCCTGTCACTGGATCTAACACCTTTATCCACTGTGCCATGTGTCCTTGAGGCAACAAAGAAGAGGACAATAGTCCAAATAATGTAAATCGTAGACTTTTGCATCCGTTCCTTGAAGATGAAACAATCTTTGCCTTCTTTGGAGCAGATGAGGTGGGGGTGTTTCCACTGCATGGACCGTCTCTTTGTTTCTGCTTTTTGCTGCATCTTTACTACCTGGCCCAACGATTGAACTCACAATGCCTCCAAATTCATGAACCAGCCCATCAATTTTGAGCAAGTGAAGCCCAAGGGCCTTGGCAATGATCATCCTTCTTTGAACGTTGTGGACTGGCAAAACAAAATTATAAACAAAGAACTGTAACAAATAATAGAAACTACATCACTTAAGGACTACCAACAGCAGCAACAACTAAAATGGATAGCACATGTAACTTAAAGAGAAAATAGACATAATCAAGATGTTGACGTTTCACACAACTTCAAATAGACAGTTTGGAAGGAAATCCCTGTCAATACTGGATCTTTCCAGTGATAAAAGCTACTTGACTTAAGAAACTTATTTTCCTAAAAAAAGTGTTTTAAGAGAAAGATTTTACAAATTTCAACCAAAAAGAATACTGGTTGCTCGGTCAATGAATGCCAAATGTTTCCTTCTAGGGAAATAGCTAATACTTGCAGTAGAGCCCGGCGTTGCCCGGGAATGTAACAGTAAGAGATAGATCAAGTATCGACCATCATGAAGACTGAAAAATAAAATTGACAAAGATTATTGTTTAAGGTTGACGGACACGCATGTCTTAATTAGTTTTCTTTTTGTTTTTTTACGAATTGGTCAAACTCAAACAAAAACATTGTTTTCAATCATTATGAGTCTACCGATTGAATAGAATTTTATTATAAACAATTGTCTTCTAAATGGAATTTTTAAAGTATTCTGAATGTAAAAATAAAGAAAAAAGACAATAAGAAACATTACCTGCCAAAAAAAAAAAAGAGTGAAGTTTTTTTGAAATCGGTTAAAAAATGTAGGAAATCCGATCCCTTATTTAAACAAACACACACATACACACACAAACAACCTGGGTTTTATAAGTATAACTTGATATGAGTTGTCCCCCTTTCATTCTCGTGATGCCTCTTAATCATGTTTTCAAATTGATTTTGTGCAAAAACAATTGTGTTTTTCCAATTTTTGTTGCTGTCAGAACCACTGCAAGGTAATTTTACGTAGTCCTGTGAAGTTTTGTTGAAATCGGTTGAAAAATGTAGGAAATCCGATCCAATATATAAACGTACAGACACACACACACACAACATGGGTTTTATAATAACTATGATTACCAGTGCCATTGTTTTGTAGGGCAAAATGGAATTTAGAGTCTTAAACTTAATGCTCCTAATGTTACTAGCTAATGTGTTGCTGTGATGCTTGACATCTATGATGCAGCTTCTCTTTCTTATTGCTGCTACTGCCTAAGCCTTGATGTGAAGCTTGACTTTCTCTGCTGTCAAGAAATTACAAAGACAACAAGTAAAAATAGTGCGTGATTCAAAACCGTGTAAATGTTAGTGGATGTCATAGCCTGAAGAAGGCAGAAAAATTTTACAAGAAAGATGGGAAATTTTTTTTGTAGCTTATTGTGTTACACAGAGAGAGAGACAGAGACAGAGACAGAGAGAGAAAAACAAAAAATAGTCATGATAGTGACACACCTCTTGAAGTCACAAAACCGTTGTCCTCATTAGTGGGGAGTGAATTGTTTTGTGCACCAGTGGACATATTGTGACGCATACGTAACATTTCAAGCTTAAGGGACGTATTTTCTTGGCGAAGGTTTTCCAGTTCAGATTGACAGCTGCCGTCACATGGGCAGGGGCAGAGCACAGAAGATTTATCATCACCATGGGGTAACATGCCTTGTGACTGCGAATGCATCTGGAGAGAAACAAATGCAAAGATATACAGAAACACCTGCACATGCTCAACTATATATATATATATATATATAATTATTTTTTATAAAGAAAATTTATAATATAAAAATGTTAGAAAATCACTACATTCCCATTATATATATATATATATATATATATATAAATAATTTGTTCATTTAACTTATGTCTATATATCTCTGAGTTTTGTAGAATTATATACATTTTTCAGGAGACTGGATGGTAAAATCATTTTCGGTAAAATACCATTATTATTGCTATATCTATTGAATTTCACCAACAAGGCCTGTAAATTTTTTTTTCCCTACATTTTTTTTCAATTTGTGTTTAAGCAGTTACATGAGAAAAACTGTAATATTCTCATTCTAGTACTTTAGTCCAAATTGACAACAAAAATATTAAACACTATAAGACTGTTTATTTACTAGGTCATTTATTAGGGTGGTTGGTAAAATATTGGTTACTGTATTTTCCGGTTTACAAGATGGACTTTTTCCTAAAAAATACCCTATATGTGTGCCTTCCAAGATGAATGTAAGGCAACACCCAAGCTCAAGTAAGCTTGGATTTGACACTTAATTGCCTTGACTGATAGGGACATGGATTTTTATGCTGAGCCATTACACTATAATATTAGCTATCTAATTCAGCCTTTTATATGATGTAACCTCAGTAATTGGCTGTTACAAGTATTTCCAAGACTATAAGCCTTCCTGGAGCCAAGCCACAAGTTTAAACATGATCTGTTTATTAGCAGCGGTAGAAGCCTTTCTGCTCCTGACTAGTATATCATTGCCATACAAACAAAATTGGATGAGTGATAAATGTAAACAATACATGGTGCCAGTATGTGAGATAATGGTGAATGTGTTGTATGAGAATGACTTTTTTTTTTTCTTAGAAATTTCTTTCCAATATTAGGGCGTGTCTTCCAAGCTGTAGAGACTTGTAAGCCAGAAAATATGTTAATTGCCAATTGATTCAAACTTTATAAAATAGTAAATAATAATAAGGATTTCTTTATAGCTGCTTTACATATTTCAATAATTTAATAAATACATTATTTGGACTATTGTCCTCATCTTTGTCGCCATATTTGTTACAACGTTTTGGCCGTTGTACGCTCCGGCCTTCTTCAGGTGGTTGGAATGTCGAACTGAACCCTTTATTTCGCTCACTGGGGTAGACTGCTCTAGTTCCACGTGCCATGTTTAATGGATGTCAGTTATCAGTTATCTCCTGTTAATTTTCCCTCTGAAAGTTCTCCACTGCCTTAACCAGGTATTAAATTCATACTCTTTGGGTCCTGGCAATTAAGTGTCAAATCCAAGCTTACTTGAGCTTTGGTCCAACGCCTTTATCCACTGTGCCATGTGTCCTTGAGGAACTAGAACAGTCTACCCCAGTGAACGAAATAAAGGGTTCAGTTTGACATTACAACCACCTGAAGAAGGCCGGAGTGTACAATGGCTGAAATGTTATAACAAATATGGCGACAAAGATGAGGACAATAGTCCAAATAATGTAAATAATGTACATAATAGCTCATCTCAGAAATATAGACAGAAATTTAATAAATGTTTATAAATTTATGAGTAAAAATGGTTTTCATATTTATTTCTTTATAAATTGGTAAATGATAAATATTGCATTGCATTAATTTTAATTGTATTAATTTTTAGAATTTTGGAAATATAAAATTATTCTTGTAAATAAACAATCTAATAAATAAATAGTGTTTAATATGCATAAATTCATTTTCATCATATGTTTTGGTTTTAGTACAATTCTAATCATTGCTTTTTAAAACAATAAACATTGCCAAAGAGTGAAGGTAGTTAAAATAATAGTGACATCAATGTAAAAACTATTTTGTCATTCAAAGTGGTGAATATTTGTGTAGTTTCAGGCATATGTCTTCAAGACATTGATAGCAGAAAAATCTTGCATATTATACTACGATGTCACTGAAAAAAACTCCTCAGGCTTGCATATGAAATAAGGGAGCCAATATATCCCTAAATATAGCTCCTAAATATATTAGGGGTGCAATTATGCAGATATTTTCCGCTGCAATCATCATTACTTCCCATGACAAGATGGGGAGTCCTGGGTATGATGATAACTACACCCAACAACAAGGCTTCTAACTGGGAGATTGGAGGTTTTGAGGAGCGTGGGACCACCTCGTAATTGCTGTTGTTCCCAGGTCCACCCTGACTTGAGGTAGAAGCACCCGTTGGGGTCCTAGCTATGAGCAAATAGTGAACCCCCAAATAAAAGCAAAACACTATGAAAATATAAAAATACATTTTTATAGTAAAAATAACAGTAATACCTATTTATATCAAAATGACCAACAATACATTTTATAGCAAAATGAATAACAGTACAGTTTATCTAAAGTTGTAGGCATACAATTGCTTTCAAAATATATTTAGTTGAAACCATTAAACTGAGTTCAAAATATTTAGATTTCAGCATAAATAACCCCTAAAGGTTTTATTATGCTGCTAAGCAAAAATCAATCAACCAACAAGGTAAGGGGGTCATAGGATCATGCAGAGTTGAGCACCTGGCCAGTTCTTTCTCCATATCAAGGTTGAAGCATGTCATGAGCAGGTAAACCTAAAAGAGCTTGTCAATCTGAAGGCTCACCTTGGTCACAGACATGTGGCCATTAATTCTATTGGGAGAAACTTCAGTTGTGGCTATTGACTTCACTTTAGGAAGCTCTCTGTCCAGCAAAGCTGTGTTATCACCCCCCACTGGCTGTATCCATAGTTATGGAACCCAGTCTATTTCATAGATAGCCATTGACCCTAAAACAAAAAAGGTAGATAGGTTTTGTTCTTAATCCTGCTGGGCATATACACTCTCACTTACCATAAACACCAGTTCGGGAATCGGTTTAATTGTAGCTAACCCAACCATGTAACAGCTAGTACTGGATTTACATGGTAGAGTTTGATTAATTTAATCTGGCAACTCAAATGGTCCAGTGCATTTTGAATTAGCCGACATTAGTTCATTGATTGGCTACAAGGCCAGCACTACATGTTTTTTACAACTTTCCACAGCAGCCAACAAGAGCAGAGTGTTTGGGTGATACGGCCTTGCTTAATTTCTTATATATAGCTACATTTTAAGACATTTTTATGTTTATACATGCTTTACTATAGGTACAAATATTTAAGTAAATGCTCTGTTTATAATAAACAGTATTAACAACATTTACTGGCCTGAATGTCCAAAAAATTGTCATAGAAAATATTTGCCCTCCGACAGGAATCGAACCTGTATCCTTTATGGAACCGTCATATAGCCTGACGTACTTTTACCGATTGAGCCACAGAGGAGCGTTTCGGTTAGCAAGGTCAATTTTACTGTTTTTAAACTACAATTTTCCTTAATTTAAAATCAACCTTGCTAACCAAATGCTCCTCTTTGGCGAAATCAGTAAAAGCACATCAGGCTATATGATGGTTCTGTATAAGATACAGGTTTGATTCCTGTCAGAGGACGCATATTTTCTATGACAATTTCTTGGACATTCCGGCCAGTAAATGTTGTTAATACTGTTTATTATAAACAGAGCATTTATTTAAATATTTGCATCTATAAAAAAGAATGTATAAACATAAAAATGTCTTAAAATAATTGTTGAACTTTCATAATATGGCTACATATTTACCCATTCAGGAGAGTAAGTAAATAATATTTGTTTGGTTTTCAGCTTTTTTTTACCTTTTGTATCACATGAAACAATAAAAACCTTCTCTTGAAGCATTAATGATTGCTTTATTTCCTGTTTTAAGCTTTGTTCTATGTTTGATGACTATGTTTGATGACTATGTTTGATGTGCAATGAGCTGGCAGGACAATGTTTACACTGGGGTTTTAAGAGGTGATTTCTGTGGTCTGATAGCGGCCTGACATAAATTCCCACTCTGAACTTTAGTTTTTTTTTAAAAAAGTAACAAACAGTAACCAAAAAAAAGTAACAAAAATAAAGTAATAAAAAAAGTAACAAAAAAAAAAAAAAAAAAAAAAAAGAAAAGAAAAGAAAAAAAAAGACCCTTCCATGTTGTTTAGTGTGAATACTTACATCAACTTTCATTCCATCGGTGTGCATCATGTCTCCCCCAGAAAGGTCACCACCAATACAATTATCAGTGACTCCACCTTGAAGCGAAACAGAGGGGTCAAGCATCTCAGCATCAACAGGGCCCATCATATCAGGGCGACACATGGACTTGTCCCAGGATTCCACCGGGCCATCGTGGCTACCTTGAATGCGTACTTGCCATACACCAACTGCAGATGCGTACATGGCTAATTTCACTTGAAAATAGCAAGTGTGCCCGCCAGAAGCACGCTCAGATGTACGCGAACAACCTGAAAATAAGATCAGGAAATGAAAATTCTTGCATTTTGGTATTCTGTTCTTACACGTTTTATCATGATACTTTATCAAATATATATGAAGAGATTTGTTTTTAATTATATCACCACATGCAAGGCAGTAAAGCCACTAAGACATAAGGGGTTACTGAGTGTGAAATAAGAAAAAAGAGAAACATTATTAAGGAGCAAAAACAATAGAAGAATAATGAAGACAGTAGATAACGATTGACATTGCATTTAAATTTTTGAAGATCAAAGTTGGCTGGAAAGCATGGAGCAGGAAGAGTGTTCCACAAACAAGATATTTGAGAAAAGAAACTGTTAGCATAGAACTTACAGTTATATTGAGCCAATTCAACTGTAAATTGATGAGACCTCACTGCCAATCTAGTATTGGACTTAAATTCATAAAGTCTAAGCACCAAAGTGGAAAGTCCATCAGAATAATTACCATGAAAATACTTATAGAAAAGGCACATGGAAGCTACGTTATGGCAGTGGGAAAGTAACTGAAGACAAGATGCTAGGTCAGGACCAATGACATTGCAGATTCTTTGTATTTTACCAAGAATCTCTAAATATATAGCAGGAGCACCAGACCAGATGTGGCAACAATATTCAAAGCATGGACAAATGGTAGACTTATAAATATGAAAAAATAGATTCTGGAGAGAAAAATTGTCTAACATGGCATAGTGAACCGACTTTCTTAGCAGCAGACCTAGCAATGGATTCAATAGAATCATTTCCACTTCATGTCAGCCAAGAATGTTACCCCAAGAAGGCGCAATGAGTCATTCTCCTGGAGATTAGCATCAGCCATGCTGATGGGAGGCAGGGAGGGATCTTTCAGAGAGAAACTTTATTTTGGTGGTGTTAAAACTAAAAAGCCATTCCTTGCTCAAGTTAACAACAGGTCATTTTTCAGATCAGTTGCCAATTTGACGTTTTTGAGCTGATCAGACTTACTATCGAGGCAGGAGTAAATGGTTGCATCATCAGTAGAGATTTAAGATAAAGTTTATGTTTTGAAAACACTTGCACAATTAGAGACTGGTAGTGTTGAATATATGCAATACTTAACATCGTTTCTCATTGTTGTTTTCACTGTATGAAGGAGGGGAGGGTCAACAGCATGTTCCACCGTTGATGCCCTATGTGTGATTTTCATGACTTAATGTCAGTTTGAGAACCACACAATATTTCACATAGAGGACAAGGAACATCACCCCTTGTGAAGGCTGCAGGAATGTTAGAGCAGTGTTTAGTATTCTGCTTTATAATATGCAGATGTTCAATGCGTGACTTCTCAAGAGTTGTAATGACTTTTATGCCCACACTCCTCCACTTGACAGGATCCAAAGTCACTTACTTGAAGGACCTCAGAGGAAGGTCAATAGAATTTAGGTTTTGCTTAAGTTAATCTTTGTAGCCTCAACTAGGGTCTTCCCACTTTCCCAGGACCATCATGCAGTTGGCTGTACATAAGGATTTCCGCTGTCCTTTTATTACTCATGTACACATAGTCAGCTCTACTTATATATACAAATACTTATATATGATAAATACTTATATATGATAAATACTTATATATGATAAAAATACCTTAAAACTATTTTTATCATATCTATGTATTCGTTCAGAAAAACGACTTTCTGGATGCCTAAAACAATACTGAAACATTATTTTAGGCAATAAGCATTATTCTGATAAAATTCTTATAGACATTTGGTAGAAAGGAACATCACATCTATTTTTAATTGCCCACTGCTGTAACATAATTCTCTGCATCTTTTCTAAAAATATTTTCATGGCAATTGTTCTGATAAGATTTCCTCTTTTATACTTTGACTCCATAAATTTAAGCACAGTACTAGATTGGCAGTTAGGTCTCATCATTTTACTGTTGAAATTGCTAAGCATAACTAAGCACTACGTTAATGGTTTCTTCTCTCACACTTCTTGCTTGTGAACCTCTGTTGTGGAGTAAATAACCTAAACTAACACAAGGGAACTAGGCAAGATGCCTTAAAAAAAGAACTCAGATAAGTCCATTGGAGTCAGTTTTTCTAAAAGTTGTCACGGCGAGTGCCTAAGTAAGACATAATATTATAACTGCTAGGAGTGTGTTATAACAAACTCTCTTCCAATTTTCTGCTTGTCAACTACGATCTTCAAAAATTTGAAATGAAAAAAAAAAAATGAGTGGCAAAAAGGGATTTACCTTTGATACAGGCACCAATACCACCACATCGTCGGACACAGTTGCCTCTCCCACTACAGAAGAGAGTTTCGCGGGCAACTTGTACATTTTTGGCAGGAGCATTTGGTTTCAGGTAAAATTTATCTTTCATATAATGATTCCCTTTTTCCACAGTGATATATTCTGATTTGATGAAGCGGCCACCTCGTACCATAATAGCATCGTAGTAGGCAGGAATGCCATCAAGGAACTCTCGGAGATTTTCTTGCTGCACACTGTGGGTTACACTGGGATCGGCTGTTATGCTCATGCTGTAATCAAGAGTTGGCTGTTGGGCTCCCATGTTGTCCAGATCTGTGCTTTGGTTCCAAACCTGGTCGGGATCTGTAAAAGGTTCAATTTCCAGGAGTTCTGGCTTTACATTATTTGGCTGTGGGGACAAAAAAGAAAAAGAAAAAATGGAAAACTGAAAGTGACAATTAAAGTGAAGAAGAAAGAAGGCGAGACAAAGAAAATAAAAACAATTGTTATTTTACGTATACAGATCATATTGACACTGGTAATCCATCCCATAGACAGCACCTCCCTATAACAAATCAAAGTTAGCTGCTAAAGTTATGTACCAAAAGAGTAAAGTGCTATTTGAATTGAGAACAAAATCAAATCTTCCAAGTTTGTTCCCAAAAGGCAAAGGGAAAAAAAAAAAAAAATATTTGCTGGCATCAAAGGTTCCAATCTATTTCTCAAATAATCCTTAAAAATTTACCGTTTATCTCCAAGGTCAGATATTACAGGGTTTAAAGGTCTAAATTAGCCGTTCTTAACCTTTCTCCCCCTACCATCCCTTTTCAGATATTGTTGGCTGGTGTACCCAATATAAAAGTTACACAGGTAAATAGAGCAGAGTTATTGCAGTGTTAATGTCACGTGTCTATGTTCTGTTGTATTACGACAGTGCCAATCACCCAAAGTTGTGGGAGGAACAGACAATCAGTGGTCACCCGTTCCGAATTTAGAAGCTGCTAGACTTTAGCTCACAAGTTTTTGTCCTTTACACACATGGAAATTACATATAAATCTTTAACTCATTAGCATTCAACTATCCAAATCTGACACGTAAATATCAGCTTTCAATATTCAAGCTACCCCATGTATTTTCTGTCATAATATATATGATGACATCATCACAAATGATGCAGCAAGTCGTGCAAACGGTGAAACTTTGAGATCTGATATTTACAGGGTTGGTGTAGGTGGGTAGAATGCTAAAGGGTTAAATGTCCGTCTATAATGTTGGTCTTTTTCCTGGATTACATCTAAAAAATATTCTTAAACTTTTCTAACTCTCTTAGCATGTTATTTCTCACATTGCTTTTACTATTGTAAGAGAAACTAGGGAGCGAAATAAAGGGTTCAGTTCGACATTCCAACCACCTGAAGAAGGCCGGAGCGAACAATGGCCGGAGCGAACAATGGCCGAAACTTTGTAATAAATCTAGTTCACTGAATTTTTATAATTTTAAGAATTAGTTGGCACAAACCAGTAAGAATCTTCCATTATACATCACCCACACGCATACATACATTACATACATATATGTTGTAGAGTAGTTTTCACAGTGGAGGCTTGTATTTCACTAAGTCGTCCTAAATTAGGTTCGACATACAAAACGTTAGGAACTTGAAATAAGAGTTAATGACGCAGCAAATCTAGTTGTGATGGTTGATACTTCAATGTCCGACATCGACTGACTCGCTCAACACCACTGAGCTGAACCGGCGACCGCTACTACTACTTATTATGTGTGGGAGAGTCTATTAATAATAGAATAGGTACATCAGGTATAACAATATACTATATGTACATATACATGAAGTGTATTCAAGTAAAGATCTTTCATTTTATATACCAGTACCTTCAAAGATTCACTAAAAAGCAATGAGCAAAATTGCCCCAAACTTAAAAGCAGTTTTTGAGTAAACAGTATTTTAAAAAGTATTTTTTTTTTTTTATCTATCAGCCTATGTACTCAAGATCACATTTTCTTTATTAAGTTTTCTCTGCTGGTAGATGAAATACTGCTTAAAACAAACACAGCTTCTACTCAAACTTGGGCGTCCACTAAAAATAATGTTTGAAGTAATGCGAGTTTTGTAAAGTGAACATTGACATCAACACTCAGAGGCGACAGACTGTTTCATGCTAAATGCAATCATCGGGCCATGTGTTCTGCTTCCCCTCAACAATTTATATATATGGGTCAGTGGTGCATTGTGGGTAGTCAATTCTGACAGTTATTTTGGTGGGAGTGGTTTGTTCATTATTTATTTATTTATTTAGATTAATTCATTTTACTTGTTTTTGCTTATTTATTTTTTATTTTTATTTATTTATGTTTTTCAGTTTTCAATTTTTAAGTAATGAAGTAAAAATTGTTTTTGTGTCTGCATTTTGAGATGAGTCCTGATTGTTTAGTAGTTTGTTTTGGTAAATTTATATAAACTCGCTCTCATATTGATCACTTTATCCCATAAATATAGCATACCTTAAACTATATTACTTCATATATATATATATATATATGTTACACATACAGCATGGCCTCATTAGTAGTTGTGATAGATGGGTTCTAAGACACTTATTGAGTTCTTAAACCTTCGCTAGGAAGTTGACATCTTTTAAAAATTTAATAAAAATCTTTTTTCCATAAAATTTTTGCTTATTATTGATAACAAAAAAGCTGCAAAGAGAGAGAAAAAAAAAAAATACATTTAGAGTGTTATAGTCAATTTCTATTTTAATCAGTCAGTTTTACAATGTAGAGCAATTCCACTGGATCATATAGGGGACACAACTCTGAAGAAATAAAATTTGATATACAGTAAAATTAAAATATATAATATATATATATATATATATATATATATATATATATATATATATATATATTTGTAAAATTAAAATGTAATATATATATATATATATATATATATTTTGTAAAATTAAAATGTAATATATATATATATATATTTTGTAAAATTAAAATGTAATATATATATATATATATTTGTAAAATTAAAATGTAATATATATATATATATATTTGTAAAATTAAATGTAATATATATATATATTTGTAAAATTAAAATGTAATATATATATATATTTGTAAAATTATAATGTAATATATATATATTTGTAAAATTAAAATGTAATATATATATATATATATATATATATATATTTGTAAAATTAAATGTAATATATATATATATATATATATATATATATTTTGTAAAATTAAAATGTAATATATATATATATATATATATTTAAAATTAAATATATATATATATATATATATATATATTTGTAAAATTAAAATGTATATATATATATATATATATATATATTTTAAAAATTAAATGTAATATATATATATATATAAATAAATTCAAACAAAATATATATATATATATATATATATATATATATATATTTGTAAAATAAAAAATTTAATTGATGAACAAACCTGAAAGACAACAGAAAAAAAGTTTCAGGAGAGGGGTAAAAAAAAAAAAAAATTATATTTTAATTGACTGCCAGTTTTCAATTATTTCTTTAAAATTGTATTTTGTTGTTCCTGTTCATTTGTAATGGGAAAACATAATTTACATAGAGACAATAAATTGAAGCCAAATTTGCACAATTATTAGAAAACATATCTCTACACATCAATTTTCATCTAGCCAAGTCACACACACACCACACTCTACTCAAAACAAATTTTAAAAGAAACCCAAATATATTAGACTGTTGGCCATTATTGAGGCAAATTTCTGCCACAGATGCTTTCAACTATGTCCGCGCATTTCCCTTATATAGACATTAAGAATGCAAACAGTAGACATCAACAAAAAGCAACCTATCCATTAATCTCTATGGTACACGACTTGCCTCCCTCTGTATATATATATATATATATATATATATATATATCATCATTTTAAAGTTGAAATGGCTAGATGTAACTGTCAGTTCTATGACAAGTGTTTCTTCTCTTGCACTTTTCGTTTGTGGAACTCTCTTCCTGATCCTTGGATCCCAGTCAACTTTGATTTTCAAAAATTTAAATGCAGTGTCAATCGTTATTTTTTGTCTTCTTAACTCCTGGTCTTTTATAGTTCATTTGTAGTGGAAAAACAATTTACTCACAGAGATAACGAATTACAGTCAAATTTATACAATTATTAGAAAACATATTTTCATCTAGCCAAGTCACACACACACACTGCACTCTACTCAAAACAAATTTTCAAAGAAACCTAAATATATCAGACTGCTGGCCATTATTGAAGCGAATCTCATTTGCCACAGATGCTTACAGCTACAGCTGCATGGAACATGGACAACAGAAAGTGGAGAGAGACTGCACGCATGGCTGACTGTTCGCCTGACCATTAGGCTTTGTAAACAACCTCCTGTAAACACAGTAAATGAACAAACCCTATCAGCATGACAAGCACAAAGTGATAGCTACCAAGTAGTCAGCTGGGGTTAAGCATACTTCTTTTTCACACTCTTGCTTCACACCTAGTACACTACACCTTCAACAGTATATGACTTACCAGAGACATTTTTATAACTTGGATATAAAAATAAATCTTTGGTCATTTATCTAAATAAGTGTCTAAGTTCTTTCTTCTACTCCAACCAACGTCCAAGCTTGGGATCAACAAAAGAATACCCTATTTGCAACATACTTGTTGATAATACAAATATAATAGCATTGTCTACATGTAAAAAAAAAAAAGAAAAAAAAAAAAAAAAAAGTCTTATTAGTAAAAACAAAAAAAAGACAACACTCAATGATATCAACTATGAACATGGACTCTATTTTGTTGTTTTTTTTGAAAATGAAACATTATATAAATACATACATACAATTTATTTCTTGTTAACATTTAATATATTTCAACCTTGAAAATGGCTAAATGTATAGCTGAAAGTGCTCAGAAAAATAAAACACATGGACAGTTTTTATATAATTTATCTACTGAAAAGAAAAAAATTATACTATCACATGAGACATTATATAAAAAATTTAATCAAAGCACCTTGTCTGTCATATTTAATGAAACTTGCATGAAAGAAGGATTGCTTCCAAAATACATAATATATGTGATATGTCCCGGAATGTGATATATTTGTTCGAAGTAGCAAAGTGGTTGTTCATAACTGTAACCGGGTAGGACAATCTAGCAGGTAACCGTAATGGACTGGTCCTTGTCGGAATGGTAGGCAATAGGCGTAGGTCAATAGGTGAAGACAATAGACGTCGTTCATATACCTCCACATCAGTCTGTATTTATGGCTGACACCAGCCAATCATATTACTGTGAGGGGGAACCCAGGTGTATGCATATTTATTACATCAATATGTTATTCTCATTATCAATTGCTCTTTGAAAATTTCCAACCAATCATAGATTTGTTTTAAAGAGGTGTGCAGGATAGATTCAAAACCTTACATTCAAAACCTGTCCACCCACACACGTACAGACACTCTTATGTAGTTTGCATTAAAAAGGGTTCTTACATGTTTACATATGGAATAGGACAAAAATTAATACTCAGGTGAGGCAAGAGGACGATGCATAAACATGAAACATAAAAAAAATGGCTGTGTTATTCCTTAGAATAAGTGATGTGCTCACCTGGCAGACTTTGTCAAGTGGAGGAAGATCTCCTTCTGGAGACCAACTGTTGGTTGGTCCATCATGACTACCAATAATTCGCACCTGCCAAGTTCCAACTGATGTGGACAGCATAAATAATTTCACCTGAAAATGGCAGTAATGGCCACCGGATGCCCGGTCCGAAATCTTGGGACAACCTGGCATTAAAAAAGATTAAAAAAAATAAAAAAAAAAGCTTAAAAATGCAACATAATAACAAATAACCTTTCACACTTTTACTATCTGAATTTTCTGATGAATCATAAATTCAACATACTATTTTTTTAAAAATACCTTTCAGAAAAAAAAACAAAAAAAACCGACAAATTACTCATAAAAAATTAAAATTTCATCATAAATATATTTGTTACTAGCTTAAAAGCCGCCCTATCAGGTGGCATTTAAGCTAGCTTCTGCAGATGGCTCTTGATTGGACCTTTGGTGTGTTCAGGAGTTTGAGAGTCCCTAAGTGTTTGCATATTCTCAGCATTGGAATCTTTCCTGGATGCCGTTTGATCTGGGTTTTCATTTACATGGGATTTTCTTTTCCTTGCATTCTAGTCCTCTGTTGGTGAAGATTTCTTTTTACAAGGTATACTGTTGCCGTATATGATAGACAGCAATAAACTACAGAAGAACTCAAAATTTATCGCTGCATTTAGATATTGCATTAATATTTAAGCTTAAAAGAAAAATAATGCTGAAAACAATCGCAGTAATGAAAACTTGGGAATCCAACATTTCAGAATTGTGGGTCTGGATCTGGCCCGAAATGTTTTTAACTTGCACACAGAGTCAGGCTGATATGTTGAACTAAGGCCTCTAGGAGTAAAGTTGAAAACACAGACAATTTTATTTTGAAACACTGTAATTTGAGAACAGTAATTTTTTTCTTTTGAACATGAGCTATTGAAAGTTAGAAAATGATATGATATGTTGAACTAAGGCCTCTAGGAGTAAAGTTGAAAACACAGACAATTTTATTTTGAAACACTGTAATTTGAGAACAGTAATTTTTTTCTTTTGAACATGAGCTATTGAACATGAGCTATTGAAAGTTAGAAAATGATATGATATGTTGAACTAAGGCCTCTAGGAGTAAAAGTTGAAAATGACATGATAGACAATTTTATTTTGAAACACTGTAATTTGAGAACAGTAATTTTTTTTTTGAACTTTTGAACATGAGCTATTGAAAGTTAGAAAATGATATGATATGTTGAACTAAGGCCTCTAGGAGTAAAGTTGAAAACACAGACAATTTTATTTTGAAACACTGTAATTTGAGAACAGTAATTTTTTCTTTTGAACATGAGCTATTGAAAGTTAGAAAATGATATGATATGTTGAACTAAGGCCTCTAGGAGTAAAGTTGAAAAGGTGTGACACACTGACATTCACATTTTTATAGATGAATAAGAATATCATGCACTGATCCCAGTTGAACAAGAAGCTGTTGAAATAAGTCTCCAGTTCTGGCCTTTACTTGCACCATGAGTAGAGCTGTAGTATATAATGCCATCATGTGTGTGCGTGTGTGTGAAATATAACATCTGGCCACTTGTATTTGAGGATACCCGTCTATTAGGGCTGCTAGCCAATCCCTCTTGCTGACGCTTGCTCAGGCACATTTTGTGTTTGTTCAACACCCACAGAGCCCACCTGTGGTTTATACTACAACTATGCTGAGCAGACCTTAGTTACAGTTTCTGAGAGAGAGCATGTTATCTAGTGTGATCAACAATCTGAACAAGGTCAGCACACTCAAACCCTCGGTCACGATGACATGTGACTTCGTGCTAGCACAGCTATTGATGGCCCCCAAGGGTTCCATCTACCCAATTTCATTAACATGGCTCAAGTCAACCCGTGGTATGGTTTTCAGGCACTTTCCAAAGGTGCTGCATGCTGGGATCGTCCCCCTCCAGACTGATAACATCAGGAAGTCTACTTCCTAATAAATTAACCGTGGTGAGATTCGAACCCAGGTCTCCTGGTCAGAAAGCAAACATTCTAACTACTTGGACGTGCACCCATACACATATAAATATTTACATGTAAAGGAAAAAGATGAAGTTAACATGCTTATATGAAATCAATATTTGATTAGCAAGTTATTCCTAATTCTGTTAATATTTCAATGTTTATTTCCATCCTCTTCAGAACATTTGAAACAAAAGTGACTTTTAATGTCTCTTAAGAATCCATGCACACAGAAAACAAAATATACACAAATAGAATCAAATTGAATAAATGTGACACCATATAGAACTAGGAAGCTACTAACCTTCCACACATTGTCCTCGTCCACCACATGCCCTCAAACAATTCCCACGCCCTCGACAATACAGGGTTTCCCTAGCCAATACAATCCGGCGCTGGGGGGTTGATTCTGTCGTAAAGAAAGTGTCTTTTAAGTAATTATCACCTTTCACCACACGAACAAAATTCGATTTGATGCAACGCCCACCTCGCACCATAACGGCGTTACGGAAATCTGGGATGGAATCCAGAAACATGTGGAGTTCTTCCTGTTTTACAGAGATGACATCCATATCTTTGGCACTCAGAGGCTGTGTTGGACCCATAGAAGGGCTTAGCATGTAGTTGGGCCCTGAACTGTTCACCTGGGAAGGCATGCGTGGCTGAGGCATTTCCATTGAGTTGGGGGAAGCTGTGGACGAAGCAACTGCAGCTGCCACAGTGGCTGCCGCGACAGCAGCATCTGTGTCGACCATGGAATTACTGTCGGGAAAATTGTTGACGGAGACAAGTGCAGCTGAAACTGCTGTTGTGGCGGCTTGTGCAGCTGCTGCTGCTGCAGTAGAAGAACGGGTTTCTCGTTTTCGCTTCATGCGACCTCTTCTTGAAGAGCCTTGCCTTCTTGATGGAGACGTTTTCAATCTTTACAGCCCAGAATAAAAAGAGTTTTAGACAGGAACAAGGAGTTGATTATATGTTACTTTTGAGGTTTAGTTTTTGATTTTATTGTTTTTGTTTTCAAATTAATTTATTTTCTGTACAAATAATTTACCCAAATTAAATAGTTAAAAACATTATTAGAATTTTTACATTAAATTAAAAAGAAATTTACATGTGTTATTATTATTATTATTTTTATTTAAAACTTCTGCATACAAATAAAAATATTTTTAAAATTTGTTTGATTTTTCAGAAATTTCTTTTAGAAATTTTTTTTTTTAATTTAAGTTCCTATAAATAGTAAAATCAATATTTTTGTCAAAGGTTTGACACAGAAATAAATAAAATGAATTTTTTTTTTCCTGCTCCTTTTTTAAAATTATAAACCTCTTTTAAAACTGGAGTGCCCAAATTTTCATGTGAAGAATAAGGCACTTATTGCAAATTCTGAAAAAAATAAAAAAAATGATAAATATTTGTCAAGGATGGAAAAAAAAAATTAATAAAATTTAGAAATGTAAAAAAAAAAAAAAAAAAAATAAAAAAAATAAAATAAAATTTAGAAATGTAAAAAAAAAATTTTTAGGGATGCAAAAAAAATATTTGTTAGGAAAAGAAGATATGAAGAGCTATGATCACCAACATCTTACGGATACAACCCCCCCCCACAAAAAAAACGGACATGGCATATAGAACAATAGCTATATCCTGTATTGTAAACATCAGAGTTATTTGCCCTTATTCTTAAATTTGCAATAGGCACATGGCCAAGTGGTTAGAACATTAACATTCACATTTGAACCAAGAGTTTCAGGTTCAAACCATAATTCACCATAATTGATTTGACAAATAGATGATATCTTGATAATATCAGCCTGGGGAGACAATCCCAGCATACAGTAGTATTGGAAAATGTGAAAATTGAAAACATGGCTGAGCAGGTGTCTTCAGTAGGGATTATCTAGCCACACTAGTAGTCTCCATAGTTTCCCCAAGAATGATGGATACCTACTAATATATATATATATATATATATATATATATATATGTGTGTGTGTGTGTGTGTGTGTGTGTGTGTGTATAATATTAGTAGTTTATATATATAAAGAAAAATATACTGAAAAAAAAACAAACAAAAATCCTAATACGCGATTATGCTGTTTTAATGTTTAATGTCAACGTCGGACGTTTCGGTCTAATAGACCATCTTCAGGACATATTCATAAAACATAATCAACATAGACCATATACAATTCAACATGAAAAAGACGATGGACATAAAAGCAATACCAATCCAATTGTTTTTTCAGTATATTTTTCTTCATATTGTCGGATCTATATCCATATATTTGCTTACACACACACATATATATATATATATATATATATATATATATATATATATATATTATTGGTCAATATATATATATATATATATATTATAATTTTATCATATAGTCAAAACTATTTTACTCACTACAAAGATGCAACTTTGTTTCAGTGCATTTCAACTGCACTTCGACGGGTGAGAATCGAAAATGGTCATTTTCGATTCTCACCTGTCGAAGTGCAATTTAAATGCATTGAAACCAAGTTGCATCTTTGTAGTGAGTAAAATCATCTTGTCTAAAATTGATTCGATATAATCAGTCTGCTTCATGTCAGGGTAAAATGTTAGTCCGAAAATTCAAATTTAGCATCTGTTTGTGTCCCTGATTTGAGATACAGACAGAAGACAAATAAGAGAGAAAGAGAAAGGAAATAAGAAAGCAAAAGAGAAAGAGAGAGTGAGAAAAAGAAAGACGGAGAAAGAAAGAGGGGCAACTTACTGAGATGAGAATAAAAGAGATAGAGAGAAAGAAAGAAAGAAAGGGAGAGAGAAAGAAAGAAAGGGAGAGAGAAAGAAAGAGGGAGACAGAAAGAGAAAGAAAGAGAGAGAGGCAAGTTACTGAGATGAGAATACAATATTTGAAATTGTGGAAAAGTTAAAAGATTATAGCAAAATCAAAAAGAAATTAAAAACATTGGCAAAATAAAAACAAGAAAAAAATACTGGCTTTCAGAATGTAACAAAAAGGGATTAAAAAAATGAATAAGCAAGAAAAGTGGATTGGCCAGCAAGAGAATATTTAATGGCTTGTCTAGATTCTTGGTCTTTTCTGAAAAAGGTCAATCAATATAACTTGGAAGATAACAGCAAGATGGTGGAGTAACTGAGCTGCTATTGGTGTGGGTGAAGCTTTATTTAATATTTTATTCTTTTAGTATGATTCATACTTTATGTATAAAGGAAGGCCACTCTCCTCTGCAGTCTTTTGAACAGGAGTAGAGGTTTCCCTGTTTAGGATCGGGTTTCATTCCCAGCAGACCCAGTTTTGTTTTAGTGGCATTATCGCCTTGTTTGGGGTGAATTAAAAAAAATAATGGTATAATGATATTATGGATAATTAATTATAAATGTAAAAATAGTTGGAATATGTATATATATATATATATATATATAAAGTTATTCCTAACATTGCTTGAGAGTGGAATGAAACTCTGGATTTTAAGTTTAATTTTTATAATTAAATTTACAACTTTAGTTTCAGTTTTGAAACATAGAAATTTCTGTGTAGCAATGGAATCATATTTTAAAAAAATAAAATAATTATATTTTGCTGTACTGTTTGTATCGAGCACTGTCTTTTTTTAAAATAAAAATAATTGCTAAGAACACCAGATTATAAATATTACTGTTCTTTCTTATTATTTTAATATATATATATATAATTATTTTCTTTTTAAAAAATATGATTCCATCACTACACAGAAATTTGTATATTTCAAAACTGAAACTAAATTTATAAATGTAATTATAAAAATTAAACTTAAATTCTAAAAAAATTTACTTAATTTATAAACGCAGACAATATTAATATTATGAGTTGTTAAGGAAAATTATTTTGATAATGTTGGTTGGGTTTTAATTTCCCTAGATAGCTTATGTTACTTATATAGTCAAGTTTAGGTGGTGTGGCAGTATCTGCTCACAAACATAGATATTCATTATTCAGTGTGTTGTCTGGGTTTTCCATGACAAAAAAAAATTGGCATTTTTATTTATCATTAAATTTATAAATTTTGTTTCAATTGTGAAACAGAAATTTCAGTGTAGCGATGGAATCATATTTTTAAAAATGAAAATTATTATATTTTGCTTTACTGTTTGTATCGAGCGTTTTTTTGTTTTTTTTTTAAATAAAAATAATTGCTAAGAACACCAGATTATAAATATTACTGTTCTTTCTTATTATTTTAATAAATATATATTTTTTTTATACCACTATAAAAGTGAATGTCTTGTCACACAGATAATTATATGGGTCAGGAAAAACTTTTCTCATGTTGAATATACAGCAATTTTAGTTACTCAGGTTTGAACAAAACTCGATTACAACAGACCATAGTAATAAGTTTCGCCATTTTTTTTTGTCAAGACACAAGCAAGGGAGGTAATTCTTAAAATTATCTTTACGTTATTTCGTCCCTTCCACTTCAAATGTCACGGCGGCGAAGAAACAAACGTATTATCATTTTCTGCAACATAAAAAATGAAGCCATCACATTGGAAGGTTATTTAATGTGAACACAACAAACAAATCTTTCTATTTTAGGTCTTCTTATAAACACGTGAGCAAATATTATATATTATTTTTAAATTTGTTTTCTCTCAAGAGCTGTCAACCTTTCATATTATTTCAGGTATCAGTTTCTTTCCTACCTACAAGTTGATATTTTTGCAATATCAACTTTATACTTTCGTTCTTTTAAAAATGTTTAGATATTTACAATATATAAATAATTTCTTGCCTTCACATAAAATAAGTTTCACTAAGAAAAGTAATACTAGAATTTATTTTGAGTTAAACTTTTAACTAATATACTTTTAAATTTCTTGAGTGACATAGGACTTGCTAGATATCATTGCAGTTTCTATAACAAGCCAGTTTTTAAGTAAGTAGGTTTTCAGCCTACTGCACAACCCACAACCTGGAGGAACAGGTTTTGAATTCAGTGTTGACCTTCTCCTAGACCAGCTCCCGCCCAAGGATAAAGAACCTGGTCTGTCCTGCTATTTACCCATAGCTGGGAGAGAGAAGAAGAGGATTCATACCTTTCCCAAGAGTATTAGCACATAAGTGAATGTAATGGATTCAACTTGAATTTGAACTTGGCTCTCCAATTCCTTAATTCCATTACTCCACTGTAACTTTTAATATTTGGATTTAAATTAGTTTAATTGGAAGCAGCAAAGAATTCTTTGGTAAATTTTGGTCAGTTAATCTTGAAGTTGAAATGTTGAAAATGCTTGTTTACATCTGGGCAACATGCTGAAATATAATTCTGAGAAAAATTTAATTCTGGAAAATATTTTCACTTTTCAGGATAAGAAATTAACATACCACAGGCTAAAAGTCTGGGACCACCCTGCATTTCTTAAAAAAAAAATCAAAAAAAATCTTAAAATGAGATATTTTTTCTATTTTTTTTAAAGTGAAAGATAAAATTTCATTAACCAGTTGTATTTGATTTTATTTTTCAATGTTTCTTCAGGCTCCTCTCATTACCAAAAGTTCAAATTTGGATTCATCTGTCCACAATAAATTTTGCTAAATTATGAATATTTTGTATGAGAAACATATTTTGTTTTCATCATTAAGCCCTTAGTAGACATTTTGAGATCATGAAAAAGTCTGGAGATTTGATTCAGGTCAACAGAATCATGAAAAAGGAACAATATCATTTGATTTCACAATCTGGTTTTTGCATAATTGGAAAAAGTTCACCTTTCAACAAGAAACACTTCTAAATTATTTCAAAAAACAAAGCTTTAGAAATTATGACTTGGCCATCTCAGTCTCCTGATCTCTTACCCATTGAATTAGTATGGGATGAATAGGATAGGAGAATTTGAAGAGAATACCCAAAGAGTGAGAGTGAGCTTTTTCAGTGTGTGAAGAATGCTTGGGAAGGTTTGACATTTACTTTTTTTTTTTTTTCAAAAACTGTTGAAAAGGATGCCAAGAATTTCTCAAGCAGTAATTAAAGCAGGTGATGGTTTTATTAATGAAAACAAAATATGATGTTGTTGTGTGATAATTTTTTTATAGATAAGGGCTTATTGTCAAAATAAAAACAAATACACTGTAATTACTGAAATTTTATCTTTTACTTTAAAAAGGAATACAAAAATATCTCATTTTAAGGTGTTTTTTTTAAGAAATGCAGGGTATCCCCAAATCTTTGGCCTGTAGTGTATGTTATAGGAACTACAATAACAATGAGTGTGAAAAGGCCTTGTGTGAATGTGTTGTTTATGGTGCCACTAATGCTAACATACATTGGAAATAAGGCATTGTTAAAGTGAAAAGGAGGATTTATTTACACTTTTGTCTCAGGTGATATGCAAAAATGATTAGAGAGTTTGCCTTGTGATTCTACCACATAGATAGATTGTTATTGTAGAGAAAGATCACATGAGGAAAATATACATATATGTGAGTTTATGTGAGTAGAGATTTTCATTATATAGTGGTTTCAGCTGTTAATATCAGGATCCTGGTGCCACTCTAGATATATTTAGTTGTTGGCATTAGGCTTCAGCTGGTTGGTCTTTGGTGAATGTCTGACCAAAAGGAGCAAGAGACAAGTAAATGACTGTGGTACTTAAATGAGCCTTCTACCTTGGGGAGATGAATTGATGGTGGTTTATATAGTATTGGAGTGGCTTGAAAATGAACTGTTGGTTGAAGCTGTGTAGGATCTCTTCTGATTGGTCAGAAAATACTTTTATGACTTTTTTTTTTGTCTTGGAAGTAGATACATGAACTTGGCCTAAAGTTAAGCCAGATTGTGTCACACCCGGATTGTGTCTGTTAAGGTGGTAATCCTTCACATAGGCAGCATAAAATAATGTCAAAGTTCTGCTTCACTTAAATGACAAAATAAAATGTTCTCTTTCGTTTCAGCCATGTCATGTATTAGACCAAGTCAATTGTGTAGAAAAAAAAAAAAGTAAAAAAGAGGATGGGGGGGGGGGTAAAAAGTACAGTGTGACGCTTGCTGACAGGCCAACTATTTTTTCTTCTTCTGTCGCCTCAAGGAAATAGATTGCGTGACTCCGTTTCTCAGCCGTTACACTGGGCAGTTGTGAAACAGACACCAACTCAGCCGCGCCTACTTAGACTTACTTTTTGTCCATCTGTCAATCCCTACGTCCAGCTCTATTGCATGCAGTCCACCGAATGACTTTGGTTCTGTCATTTTATGCCATTCCAATACGACCAAAATTTGCATGTGTGCAAATATCGTCTCATTTTGGACGAGATCGGCGCGCATAAATTGTGTCTTCAATAGCGGCCATATTTCTTTTTGCCATCACTTTGCAGGCAAGACACGTTTGTGCTCGTTTCGAATTCTGAGGTAAGTCATGTCTTTCATCACAAATTGTTGATCTAAATTAATTATTATCACGAGAAGATATTTTGCAAGAAGATTGATATTTATCGGAGCTTGTCAGTCCTCTTAGGGGATCCTATAACTATGCTGTTTTGGTTAGCACAACAATGACTCATTTGAAACAACCGATGTTGTAACCACAGCCATTTTGGCGAAATGCCTTTCAATGTGCAATAGATGGTTATTGATGGTATTACAAATCATTTATTTAACGCTGTTCGGGGAATAGCAGTTTATTTAAATGAAGGATTACGGTTGAGGTGAGCTCTTTTGTTTTAATTCATGAGTGGAAGATCACAACAAAAGTCAGAAACATTCAGGATAAAGGGAAGCTCATAAAATTTTCTTTTCGATAAAGAATTTTTTCTCAAGTCAACAAAGGCCATTTGTCTGTGACTTGAAATTTTGGTTCACTCAGTGAAACAGGATTATAAATGGAAGTGTGTAATTTTTTTCATGCGGAATCTAACTGCAGGACAAAAAGTTATAATTTCACCAAGCATTGTTGGATTTGTGATATTTGTCCTTAATAAAGTAAGGTGTATGCTATTATTTCTTTTAGTTTTTTCTTTAACATTTTGCACTGGGCATCATTTATAAATATTACTTTTCCTTTTTAACTGTTGACTATGAACATGGCCAGTATGTGCTGGCAGTGTTTGGAAAATAAAACATCCCTATAACTCTAAAAACATACACAGAACCCATACACCCAATTAAAAAGTAAAATCATTCTTGATAATGGCTAAAAGTATAAAATGCTCGGAATTACAGAACATTTGGACAGATTCTCCACACTTTGTGTCCAGAAAAGAGAACACTTGCTTGAACACAAGAAAAATCAAATAAAAAGCTTAATCGTAGTACCTTGTGTGTTGTCTTTAATGAAACCTGTATAAATGAAGGACTGCTGCCTAAATACACAATATATAATAAATATGAGTAAAAGTTTGTTATTTAGCTGACTGAAGTTACCTTCAGCATCCTGAATCCAGAGTTTCGTAGGTGAACCTGTCCATCCACTCTTCAGGGGATATCAGAAATTTATATATATTTATATATATGCATCCTGATAAAATGAGATGCTGTACAGACACTCACAAATTTTGTTCTAGTGATTACTGGTGGTGTTGCAAGAGTGTGCTGAGCAATAGCAAATCCTCAGTTGCTCCTTTCTTCAACCAATTTGAATTATTGACATCTACTGCAGATAAGGTATAGTGCTTTGCACAGAAATTTTGACTCATCTGGAGTACATCTACCAGATTTTCTCCCTGGAATGGAGGCTCTACTGTTATGCGTGTAACTCTGCCATTGGTTTTTGCTATTTCTAAATTAGATTCCCATAAGGCATGCTTATTCGACATAATCCCTGCAGTCATCTTAAAAAAAAAAAAAAGAAAAAAGTTTTCTCGTGCTCTCTCCAAACTTTAAGACAAATGCTTTACTGCTTCTTGCTTTCCAGTTTGTTGGGAGTCATCCTCTGCAGTTCCTGCTTTCAAGAACTCCTGGAAACTCCTGACCACTTAAATTATCATCCTATTTGTCTCTTACCTCCTTTTGTCAAAGTACTTGAGGCTCTAATCAACACCAAATTGATTAAGCATCTCACTTCACACAGCCTGCTTTCAGATAAACAATATGGCTTCCATTTTGCCATGTCTACCACCAACATGTTAATAACTACCATTGAATTTGTTCCAGGCTTTTAGATCAAGGATTCTCAATGTGGCCCAGGTGGCCCACATAGCATTTCTAGTGGCCCACAGAGAATTCATAACCATAAAAAAAATTATAGCCATTTCACAAAAATTTATCTAAATTATTCATACTTTGAAGAATTAAAAGAGATAATATTTTGTTTAATTAAACACACATACACAAACCCATTATATTTGAAAATGTTGAAATTACATAGTTATTATGCAGTGCTATATTTATTTTATATATAATATATATATATATATATATATATATATATATATATATATATATATAAATTTATTCATATAAAAAAATTATCCAAACTGCCAAAAAAGGAATTACAGAAGATTTTATCATGCTTAGCTTTTAGATCTGTAGACTCAAATGGCACCACATTC